TTTGTGGTTCAGGTTCAGGTTCAGTTCAGGTTCATTGAACCTAAATTTGAACTGAACTGAACCTAGGAACCCTAGCGAGTGATAAACTTTGAACTTGTCGGCAGATAGCATATGAGAACTATCTCTAAACGACAAGCACTGGGTTTGCAGTGAGTGATAAACTCTAAGCCTGTCAGCAGGTAGTGTATGGGAACTACCTCTAAACGACAGGTACTGATTTATTGTTCCTCTTTTCACATCTTATGTAGTTTGGCTAGTCAGTTTCTACTGTTTTTGTTGAAAAGTTTTTTCAGTAAAATTTGGTTTAAGTGATCGTCGGAAAGAGTTCTCACATTTTTTTTTTGTAAATAAATAATTACCGTTCATAATAATTAACAAAATTTATAAATAATTCTTTTATTTCTTGAAGCTCTTCTTTGGTAATAATTGGTTCAAGACACAATTAAACCGCTCAAACAAACTTTGCTCATCTGTTGATGTGCCTATAATTAAGAAAATAAAAAAAAATTAGCTATAGCTATAAGGTAATTTAAAATTTGATTAAATGCAAATATTAGAAAAAAATAAATACTTTATTGGTAAACATCCTTGAAAAAGTGGAAGTGAATATAAAACTGTCCAATTATACCAATCTTCTGCTTTTAAAGAATAGTAATATTTTTGAATGTTAATTGGCAGTCTCCCAAACTCTAATGGCAGCATCTTCTGATTAAGTTCAACTATCTTTCCAATTTTATTCCAATGACTTGTTGTAATCTTATACTTTGCATCATTTAGTTTTTCATTACTAAAAAATTTACTATTAAAGTGGCGAAACATATGTTGTGTAGTATTTTCAAAGAGAGAATGTATTATATCTATTGGAAATGATGCTGGAAAGCTAATTGAATTTAATTCAAATAAGACACTATGTCCATTTACACCTGTTTCACACTCTATCTTATGTTGTTTACTTTTATTTTTATTTTCTAATGCTTTAATATTTTGAAGATAGCTAGTATGAGAATGCATTGGCAATTTGTTTGGATTATAAATTTTACTATTATATCTTTTGGGTGGTGAAAGTGGGAAATATACATAATGAGCTATTTCAGAATATGTTTTATGAAAATAGCAAAAGCGGCATCCACTATAGGCATTGTGACTAGATACACACATAACCTTAGACAAAGCTAGCATATCTCCAGACCATGACAATATATGGCCTCGCAATATAAATGTTTCTTGAGATAACACATCATAATATGATACACCTGCTATTAAAAATATTTGTATTAGTTTATTATATTAACTGTATTTTTATTATACAGTATAAAATTTACCTTCAAGACATTTTAATTCATCTACAAGTGGCTGTAAAAAACTATTGAAATTCTTTGGTAATTTTGGACCAGGAATAATTGCAGTTATCATCAAATTTTCTTTTTTTACTCTCTAATCTGGAGGTAAATTCACATTTAAAAGTAGAATAACCCAGCAATCATTTTGCTTTTTTTTAAATAATTGATAACTATCTGTGGAGGCAATTAAAGCAATATCACAAGAATCTGTAAATAAGCCTGATGTAACTAAAAACTTATATTGATTGCTATCAAAAATATCTCCAATTATACTATTTTCAGATTTATACTCTTCTCTTGAAATATAATTATATTGATATTGGAGAATTTTTGCACATAATAGATCCTTGTATTGTATTCATAAACTATCAATTATAGAATAGTATGCAACTAATTTTCGGGCTTTTTTTGGTATTTGTTCAGATATATATCGTGGTTCACTACAAATAGGGCATATTTCACAATTAATATTTTTCTTAGTGAATGTGCAACAAGAATTCCAGCACATATCCACAAGCTTTGGCTCAAGTGGAATTAAAGTTTTAAAAGCCTTTCAAAGTTTATATAAAGAAACTTCTGGAATTTTAAATATCTTTATAATTTCATTAAATGCTTGGTCTGGCAAAAAGTATTTGTTTTTAACATAGAGAAGGCGAAGCCCATGAACTAAATTATCTGATAAGTCTTAAATAAAAAAATATTAAAATAAATAAAATTTATATACATTTAGAGGTGATAACAGTAATATATTTTTAATAAACCAATTTAAATTAAAAATTTTATAAATTTTAATTGATTAATTAAAATATAAAAATAAAATTTACCATAATTGTCCTTTTCAAATTCTTGTTTATCTATTTCAAATTCTTGTTTGTCTATTTCAAATTCTTGTTCATCTAGTTCAGATATTTGTTCATCTAATTCGAATTCTTGTTCTACTGGTTCAACTTCTTGTTCATCCTTTTCTAATTCAAATTCCGAATCTAATAAATCACTATTGTCTAAAGTATTGTGGTAAAATTTACTAAAAACTATCAAGCTTTAGCAAACTTTAAAGTCACGAGTATCAAGTGGACTATCTTTTATTTAAAG